AAGACTTTCCCTAAGCTGAAGACCGTAGGACGTAGTACGTTACCTAGTGGACAACCAAGTGCAAGAGAAGCGCTGGGCATGAACACAGAAGTTTTTGTTCAAGGGTTATCACTTTTCCGCATTCGATTTTCCGTTTACAATGTTGCTTGTAGAACTTACTCGACTTTCAACTATATTTCGATATGAGCGTCTGGGAGGGGTGCTCCAGAGGTCGTACTGCATTCAACTCACTGAGGCCTTTCTTTGTTGTGATTACTGCGAAATCGCTACACTCCCATGTTCGCTGGGCCATTATCTATAGCCCGAGGCAAGTAGTCATTCTCACACCAGCCGACACCACTAATTACGTGCAATGAAAAAACAAGCGACCAACCAGCTTCACAATGCGATTGGGGCTGGGGGGGGGGGGCGGTCGGTTGGTGGCTGTAGTGATCGGTGGTCGCTGTCGCTGTTTGAGGAGGGTGTCGACACCCTCCTCAACTCGTCAGGTCGACGACTTGGACGCCTCTCGTATGGCTCCGCCCACCTGAGAAGACGACGAGGACAAGCAAGACTCATTAGTCCGACGATGGCGACGATCCGCCCCCGTGTCGAACCGTCGGATCGACAGCAATTCGTCCGTCGTACATCTTTCAGACGAGCCACAAGCTTAGCCTTTCTTCTAACCGCCAGTGGGCGGATGCTGTTGAATGTTCAATGGCAGTCGACAAACCTCCATGTACTTGTCGACGAGAGTGCAGCTACCGTAGTCCGCCCTGGGGTGTGTGTGTTTTCTCCGGAATCCTTCTCAAACTAATCTCTTCACTTGTTCCGTGTTTTGCATTCTGTGTTTCCGAACACGGTCAGCCATCCGGGGAGCATTAGACTCATCCCTGGTGAACCGTTCCTTTTCAGTGGTTGTCCATTAGCCACAATCTCACTTTCGTTTCTGTAATATTCTGGATTATGCCGATCCTTTGTTTTCTCTTGAGGCACTTGGTAGCACGGGGGGGTCCTGAAATCGATTTTTGGTAGTCACTAGGGCTTCAAAAATTTGTGCCAAAATCTACTAGATTCGGAGTCTCTATCTTCGCGACTCGCCTTGTCAAAAATCTTTTTTCTTTGAAATGTCTATTTAGCGGCTTAATTCCGACATTAATGGTGGGCAGTAATTTTGAACGTTGTTCGCGAATCACTTGTTGGCTTTATTACATTTACACAATGTCTATACATAACTCTTTCGTTGAGCGATCATCATGACAGCTGTTAGTTATGTCCCCATGCTCTTGGTGCGAGCTCAAAAACGATTTTTTCATTGATTCGTGAGAAACATTGTAATGCTTGGTTCTTCTTGAGCTGATCATCTTGCCTCAAGTCGCCCATCTGTGTTGGTTTATATCGAGTCGCTCATTTATTGACCTTGTGATGAAGCTAGAGGTGATTTCTGTGTTGGTGCAATAGACGCGGGCAATTTGGTGCAATAGTTCGTCGAGTTACGATCATTCGGATTTTGCACCGGCGGGTTTTTGAAGTTATAAAATGTTAGTGGACATGATTCCTTGCCGAGACTCAACGGAAGGTTAGGGTTGAAG